TTTTTTTTTTTTTTTTTTTTTTTTTTTTTTTTTTTTTTTTTTTTTTTTTTTTTTTTTTTTTTTTCTTTTTTTTTTTTCTTTTTTTTTTTCTTTTATTTTATTTTTTTTGCCACGAAATTTCAATAACTGATTGCTGGCTCTAATATTTTTTTCAAATTTTCAACAAACTGTGATGCTTCGTCTACACTTTTCTCGATAATTGGTAATAGCAGTCTCGAGTTCGTTCAAACAATTCATACATCCTTGATTGGCTTTTTTCAGTGACTTTCTCTGCTAATGATTTCTGAATTACAGATACTTCCACAATACCACGAGTTTGATACACTTCCATACCACCCTCTTTGAATGTTATTTGAAAGTTGTACCAAACTTCTGACGTTAAAATATTGGCACCACAAAGTTGTTTGTGGAAAATATGGCAACATGGTAACATATACTGATTAAAGAACCTATATTAGTGTTACAAATCGGCAAAATTTTTTCAATCAATTAGTTTGTTAATTATTTTTGCAGTTGGCTGCAACTAATCGATTAGTCGATTAGTTGCAACTACTGTAATTCATTATTGCGGTTTTGCAAAATTATGTGAAATTTGATCATTAAAAAAAAAAGTAATCACTGATTTCTGATTTCTTCAATATTTTTTTTTTGACTTTTAGATAAGACAAAATTTGCACACCTATTAATTTGAAAATTTTTATTATTTTATTTAGAAATAAAAGTTTCATATTCATCATTTTGTAATATATTTGCAGAAATAGAAGTTGCGCATTAAAATATTCAATCAAATTTTTTCAAATAATAAATGTGCAAATTTTGTCTATCTAAAAATAAAAAAAATGTTAAAGAAATCAAAAATCAGTAATCGGAAATTAGGGATTGCTTTTTTTTTTAATAATCTTCAAATTTCACATAAATTTGCAAACCGCAATAAGTAAATAAATAATTTTTCAGTCGATTCATTTGCAACAATCGATTTATTCTTTAGTTGATTAGTTGCAACTAATCAACTAGTCGATTAATCAATTAGTTGGTGTCTAAAAAGTTCAATCGATTAGTTGCAACTAACCAACTAATCGATTTTTTCAACTTTCGATTTGTAACACTAACCTACATGAGCATTCTGCACTTGCAAGGTTTGGTGCGCACTTTCCTTCTTTCAGTTTTCTTAAGACGGCATGTGCTTCCTCTGCAATAAGTTTCTGAATGGGAAAAGGAAATTTATGGATCTCGGTAAAGATTTCTGGCCTAATATTAGCGAGAGAGATTCTTTTGGAACGAAAGCTGATAGTGGCTTCTTTTGCAGCCATCAATTTTTTTTCGTCAAGTTCTAAAAGGATATAACACGCACCTGCACAATAATAATAATGATAATTTAATAAAATAAATAATGCATATCCAAATACAAAATATACTGCTTTTTTAAAATCATAATTTACTGTGCTTTTCAAATTACTGTGATTGTCAGAATGATTACACTAATATCCTGCCAAATTTTTTTTTAATACCCTTTTAAAGAAGAACGCCGGAAGGCGTAATTTATCCCACCAATTTTTAATTTCAAAGCTATTTCGATTCCTACTGATTAATAGAATTCGAAAATAGTCTTAAACATTTAAACAACCAGGCACTTTCCTCTTCCCTTGTAAAATGTTAACAGCAATCATTTCATTCGTTAAGTGTTTGAATGTTGGCTTTCCACTCAAAATTTCCTAAAGTACTATAATACACCAAGACCATAGATATCCGACCTCTTGTCACATTTATATCCTTGGTTAAAAAGGCACTGAGGTTCGATGTTGCTAGCATTCCATGAGCAATCGAGTTTGAAGTCATAAACGTCTCATTTATCTGTTTTAACAGCCCAAATCTGCGATTTTTGGTCGACTTTGATGAATCAAAATATTCTTCAAATGCTATAAAATATATTAGAACATTAGAACATTAGTTGAACCTCACAAAACTAATTCTACCAGAATTAATAACATGTCAAATTTGATAAAAATTTTAATCTACCAAGTTTGTTGCTGCTCAATGAGTCTTATATTTATAATGTTTTCAAGTCTGATAACCTCTTAACACCGATGCAAAACTTATCAACCATGTATATCAGTTTTGAGAGGTTCAACAGTATGTAATGATGAAATTTGCTAATCACAGGAAGTTGAACAGTAATTTTTTTTTTTTTTTTTTTTAAAAAAAAAAAAAAAAAAAAGTAGTTAAAATTACTCAAAGAAAATACTTGCCAATGAGACCGTATTGAACAGAAATTTTTGCTTTGAGTTCACTATGATAAGACTCCAGGGGGTTGGTTGAAGTAATTTGAAGAAAAAGTGGTGAATGTTGCCGAGTCCAGAGAGACCATTGTCTCGAATTGTTTAGGTAGTTTCTTGTAATATACTTGGCATTGGCTTAAACAGAACAGGTATTTATAGCATCATGAACAATTTCTTCATATCCAACTCGTGTTTTTTTGTGCATTGCGTGAATCATTTTATTAAGTGTCAGACCGTGATAAATATTTTTCATCCATGTTCGTATGACGTGTACAGTACACAGGAGAATGTCACATTCTTGTTCTCCTGCAGATCAAAGAAATTATTTATTATAATTTATTTTTTTAAAAAAAAAATAATAATAAAAGTAAAAAAAAATAAAAAAAAATAAGACGTTAAATCACACCGCTGGTGTGCAACACTACATCGGTTTTGGCCAATATATATTGTTATAAACCTGCTTTTTGTGTTATAATAAAAAAAATTCCTTATGAAATTCTGGTATAAACTATACTAAACCCTAGCCATAATCCCAGTCTAACCCTAACTCTAAGCATTATATACTGGCATTGAACATTTAACATTGAATAAAAAATAAAAAGTTCAGATTCATTTTCTCCCTACCTACAGAAAGACCCGGGAACGTTAACGCAACACCATTAGATTCCACATTACTTTGATCAAGAAGCATATACTGTGGATTCCATTGTTGTGCAAACTTTCGAATAATTCTTAATGCCGAGGCAACAGCCTCACTATTTTCTCTATTAACAAAGAAATAGACACCAACGTTCCAACAGCCACAGCCATTGCGGATGTATAAAGTAAATAAACGCCACCCATGTTTATTAGTATTATACGTAGAATCCATTAGTATTAACCAACCGTAATGTGTTAAATTTTCTATTTGCCAAGAATTTGCGAAGCATAAACCCCGAAAACTCTCAAGTGATTCTTGCTTTTGAAAAGACTCAACTTGATAATTATTTTTTATTAAAAATTCGATTGTACTTAAAATATCAGATTTTATATTTGCATCTCCAATAAGATGCGAATTCATCAAACCAACAAGCTTCTGCTTGATATTAGCAACCTCCTTTGTTTTCAAATACTCTATGCCCGAATCTTCATACAACTTAGAAACTTCTTTCTTAATAACATTCGTAATTGTCGGGGGTTTGTAATCTTTAATGGCCTCATTGTCTACCATCTCTTTAATAAATTTTGACCGTTTTCGCATATCACTTTCTTCAATCAAATGACTATGATCAGGAGTACCACTAACCTACAAACATTTTTTAATTTAAAAAAATATTACATTACAACTTTTTTTTTTTTCAAAAACCCTTTAGCAATACCACTAAGGGACTCTATTCTTTTACATTACGACGTTTTAAATAATGCTATCCTTATTTCTTACCCTCTCAATTCTAACCATATTTGATGCTGTTAACTACGTTATTTTGATTTTGATTTCACAATTGACAGCGGCTTTTTATCCAGATTACGCGATGCTTTTCAGAGGGAAGATTTTCTTTTCTTCTGCTTGATTCCCTAGGTTTTGAAAGTCTATAAATGAAAGTTTTACATTCATTGCCGTTATCTAATATATAGCTATTGAGCCTTGTCCAAAAGTTATTAACAAGAGCCCACTGCTTGTTGAAGTCCTCAGTGGAAAGCTCAAATGTTTCATTCACATTAAAAAAGCGTTCTCGGATGGTTGACATTGCTTTAGTAATTATAATCAACCAAAGCCTATTGCTACTGTATGATTTTTTTTTTTTTGTTTTTATTATTATTATTATTTTTTTTTTCTAATTCGGCTGTCCTGCCCTTGTTTATTTGGGATCAAGTTATTCAAAATTACAAATAAAAAATTACAAGCGATTTATCTCTAACTACCGTAGATCTAACCAAACGAAGAACTCAGCCACATGATTTTATACATCAGGTGCGACCTGCCTCAGTAGCTCTTGGCCTCCCTCAGGGTCTTTAACTCACTAAGGACTTTTTTCCTGTTGTTCATCGGCTGGTGGCTATCCGCTCATCAAGAAGCAAAATCAGAAAAAACAAACAAACTAAAAAAAACACAGAGGTATAGGGGACTACGATAAAAGAA